CTTCTTCTTCTCACTTTCTCTCTCTGGAAGTGGCAGAAGAGGATAGGCTTAGAGCCACCCTGAATATTTTTTTTAGTTATATATGTTTCATATATTCTTAATTGTGGGCTTATTGTAATGATTTTGTGAAAATAAATTTAATTAGGTCAACAAGTTGGGTATTAGAACAAAAAAAAAAAGTCTATACCAAATCTCTTAAAACTAAAATTGATTCCTTAAAATATTTGTATGATTTGTTGGAGCCTCATTTAGTTCAAAAATTATGGAATATATAGTCAAAAATTAGTAAAATATAAAATTTGTAAGAAGATTAAAAATTATAGAATATTCATTTTATTTGTGTCAAATCTATAAATATAAAATAGGGTAGACTTCAATAAGTTCATTCGACAGTTTCAAATAGACTCAACTAGGGATTAATTTATTTACAATAATTTGAACCTTGGTGAATGATATTTGTAGATCTTTTTTTGATAAAAAATATTTTGGATATATGTTTTTTTGATAAATTAGATTTTTAGTTTATATTAGATTTGACTCGATTTGATTATATGTATATAAATTAATATTTGATTTTGATTATATGTATATAAATTAATATTTTTTTAAGTCAATTCTATCATATTTCGTTAATATATCTATTATATAAAACAAGAAAAACTTCAATAAGTTCATCCAACGGTCTCAAATAAATTCATTCAACGGCCACCAACATTTCTTTCAAAACCATTTAGATTGAATTTTACCTTCCCCTTCTCAATCTTCACTCTTCACTCTTTGGTAGTGGCGGGGGGGGGGGGGGGGGGGGGGGGGCAGAATTTTTATATTATAGATTGAATTTTACCTTCACCTTGATTTTTTTTTTTTTTTGTTATAATTGTTTTAAATATTTTTTTTTTGAATATTCTTAATTGGGTCAAACAAATTAGGTATTAGAACCAAAAAAAAAGTCTATACCAAATCTCTTAAAACTAAAATTGATTCCCTAGAATATTTGTATGATTTGTTGGAGCATCATTTGATTCAAAAATTATGGAATATATAGTCAAAAATGAGTAAAATATAAAATTTGTAAAAAGATTAAAAATGATACAATATTACTTTTATTTGTGTCAAATTTATAATATAAAATTTAACAGACTTCAATAAGTCCATATGACAATTTTAAATAGACTCATTTAACGACTATTAACATCTTTTTTTAAATTATTTACAAAAAATTCCACCTTTTTTAAATTTATCACTTCTCACTTATATTACGCTGCATCTTCGTGCACGAATTACCCGGGACAAATATTAGAGAGACGGGAGAGGTTTGAAGTATTGTCATAGTCAGAGCACGAGGGGAGCTTCGTAGAAAGTCAAATGCCCCATCCCATGGCTGCCCTGCTGTGTCTGTCATGAAAACAATATTCAATTTATAGAAAAATATATTTTAGAATAAGTTACTTGTAATAATGTGCAATGTTCCCGTCGCGTCGGTGTAGGTATGGGAGAGTGAAAATAAAATATATTATTTTCACCCTCCCATACCTATACATGCCAATCATAAATTATTCCCACAACTTCCCCACACTCAAACATCAAATGGTTCTCCCTCTACGATGAACACAATTCCAGTGCTTTTGCCTACAATCTACATTTTATTTGTGATTTTCAGAATGAATAATAAAATAAGCAAACTGTTAATTCCCATTACGAATATCATTAATGTATTCGTAGTTGTTTTTTGTTTTTTAATCCAAGTTGAGTTGGGGCGGTTGTTGAGAAATGATAATAAAGCCACCAGTGGTGAGGAAGTTGTGGACAATTATTTTTATATTTAAGTAGACAATATTCTCATCTCCTCCGGCACGGGAATTGCAATATTCTCTTCAGATCAGAAAGGAAAAAATGGAAAGCAAGCCAGTGATTGTTGCTAAAGCCACCAGTGGTGATTCCTCATCTCTCAAATCTCCATTTCTCAGAAACTTCTGGGTTTAGATGGAAATTTCATAGCATCTTCTACCTCTTTCCACATTGTAGATCTATAAATTATTTTTATATTTAAGTTAGTAGACAATCTCATCTTCTCTGCCACCGTCATATACCATTTTGTGATTTTCTCTTCAGATTATTCCCAAGGAAAAATGGAATGCAACCCAGTGACTACTGCTAAATCCACCAGTGCTGATTCCTCATCGCCTTCGCCGGTTGAGATTGTCGATGGAAATTCCTCCCCGCAGGTTTGTTTTTCTAATCTCTCTCTCTTTCTCTCAAACGACTCTCCTTCCATTTTCTCCACTTAAACTTGGTTTTCCTTATTTGCTAGAAAATAGAAAACACACCCGTGACTATTGCTGAAGCCACCAATGGTGCGTCCTTATCCCCGGTTGAAAGGGCTCGCCAAATCCGAATCACACCTGGGAAGTATAGGGTGAGCAATAATTATAAATTTTTTAAATTATATATAATACCTAAAAATTCATTATCGCTTCTTTTGTTTTTTGGTAGATAGTAATAACTCTGATTTAGACTTTTGTTTAAAAGTATTTCTCTAAGATTGCTTCAAATAATTAATAAAAAGAATAAGCAAGGAACAATTGTTGTTATTTTCTTTTAAAGTATTTCTCTATGATTTAGACTTTCTTTTAAATTATGTTGTTATTTTGTACTTCCTTGCATTTTCATATTTATTTCTTGTTTGCTTCCTCCTGATCTATTCCCCCTCCCTTTCTCCATCCTCCTCTTTTGGTTGATCTTCCAGTCCGAAACATCTTGTGGGTGATCTGTTGTGATTAGTCAAGAAATAAGGCATGTGCTGCATTTGGTTCCAGCTGCAGCAGCAGATTTTGGGGTTCATGGTTACAAAGTTGAAAATAAATGGCCTCAAATATATACCTCTCTCTTGATTCCATCGGGATGAAGAGGTTATCAAATATGTTTTTTATTTTTATTTTTATAATTTGATAAATATAAATAATTATCAAACATGTTTTTTGTTTTCAAATTTTACCACAGAAAAAAATAAAAATTGTTTATATCTTTTATTTTTTTAAAAAACACGAAAATAAAAACATTACCAAATGCATCCTTAATGTTTATTGATTCTCTATTTTCAATGAACATAATACATTAATCTCCTCTCTTTCTCTCTCTCTCTCCCTCCGCATTATATTTTCTCCCCCCTCTAAGATTTTTAAAAGTGCGTGTGTATATAGCTTATTTCATATATTGTATTAAAACTGTTCAAAAAAAAAAAATCTATTGTATTAGAAGGCTTAATGACCTAACTATAGGACGTAGATAATATCATGTTAAAGTTGATTTTGGATAAATTTCATATAAGTATAAATTTAACAATGACAATGACTTGTTGAATAACATTCCTAATTTTGTCATTATTGGCCCTCCTATAAAATCTTGACTCAATTCCAAAATATACATGATGATAAAAGACAAAGTTTATTAGGGTTTTTTGCATTTTACACCCCACAAAAATCTCTTGATTCTCACTTCATACACTGAAAGATTATTTTTTTTCATATTACAGCTCGAATGTCATAAATTGATTCTAATGTGACTTTCGAACTAACATCCGTTTCAAATTCTGTTAAAAATTAATGCACTTGCCACATGTATGTGATGTTCTTGGATAAAAATGTAAACTAGTCATCCATATCCCTGGGTGACTAGTTTACCGAAATTTGAAACGGATGTTAGTCCGAGGGCCATATTGGAACTAATTTATGACATTCAGGGTGTAATGTGGAAAAAATAATTTTTTGGGATACAAAGTGGGAATCAAGACATCTTTCGGAAAGAAAAATGGAAAAATCTCACTTTAATAAGACACAAACTCTAATTTTCACTAAAAGAAATTGCATTAATATTTCTTTCTGTATCTCTAGGTTCAGCAGCAGGCCGGAGTATCACCTTCATTTACAAGGTCCAATGGGGGAGGGAATTGTGATACAAAGGAGCTCAGTGTAAGTTGGTTGATTTCTACCTGGCTAGATGATGAATTCCAAGACTTACACTACCATATTCACCTACATTAACCTTCGAATTTCTTTGTTACATCTGCGATGGTCATTCCAACAGTCATACATAACGTGTTCGTAGCAAACAGATCTAGGTTATAATAATAGGTCGAGGACTACCTAATATACAATTGATTTATCTACATAAGGGGCTATTTGATTTTAAGTTATATATTATAACATGTATTAGATATAGGTGTTGCCAGGGGCGGATTTGCAATGTGGGCAGCTGTCCACATTGCAATTTTAACAACTTTTGGGGCCTAGTAGAATTTTGAAAAGTTTCAGAAGTGTTTAAAATTGCCCCATTGAAAATTTATAAAACATATAGGGTTATTTCTACAATTTAGAAAATAAATGGAGTCCTTAACAAATGTATGTAGACAAGATGTAGTTGTTTTATCCTCAAACCATTGTTGCCTATTAAATGTTTGTTAAAATGCCACAAACAAAGCCATGACAAAATGAGCAAGTAACTATGACAATCCGCGAGTCCTAAGGAAATTTTGCATTGCTCATGGTCAAAGGCTTGTGATTTTCAACTATTTTATTTAATTCAAACACTTGAAAATTCAAACAACATGGTTGCTTGATCAATATACATTGATCTTACAAGTTGTTTGTTAAAAATTCAAGGATAAAACATTGAATTTGAGTTGAATTAGAGCCCCACTGTGAAACAATCTTGGCTCCGCCCCCTGGGTGTTGCAAAGTTGGTGAGTCAAGTCTCTCAACCAATTGATTGAATTTCCGGATTGTTTGTCTAAATGTCTCAATTTAGCTGCAATCAATTTGCTTATTGTTTCAATTCAGTTTGTTAACCTACATGTACGGAAGTTTGTATGACATGTGGGAGGATGTGTAGAACAATTAATTATTCAATTATCGTAGTTTTGAAACTTATTTATGAAATGTGATAGTTTAAAACTTATTTACTAAATTATCATTTTTTTTTCAAAAAAAAGTATTTTCAAAATAATGATAATTTTACAAACAAATGTAGAACTCTAATATTTAAGTAAATAAAATTAACCCAGCTTGCAACAAACCATTATTGACTAGGCTTTCATTAAAAAAAAAAAAAGGCTTTAGACATGTATTATAATTATAATTATAATGCTTTCTAGGTAGTTGTTCATCAGTATTATCAACTCAAAAATACAATAAATTTATTTATATGTGGAATATATAATTAGTTATCCAATATTAAAAATGTATATTTATTTCATAATAGTCTTCAAACGTACATATTTTTTTTTTAAGATAGATGCTAGTGCAAATAGAAAAAAAAAATCATATGTGAATTAAATTTTAAATAATATTAAACAACATTTTTTCACTTTTCATATCGAAAAATAGGTGCATCTATTGTTTTTCAATGTATATTTTTAAACCATCTTAGACAGTTATCATTTTAATCATCAATTAGTTCTATTCCTACCATTACACTAGTTTTTTTATTTATAATTTCATCTTTTCATATTTCTGGTAGAATTATTTTTGCAAAATAGTAGTCATGTATTTTGATGAAATTGTTTTTCTTACTCAAACAAAAATACTTAGAAAATGTTATCAAACTATACATAAGTTGAATCCATGTTAGATTTTATACATGTTGGTGGAAATATTGTCATCATTATACCAAGAGCTTCTAAGGGTGAGAAGAAACCTATAGGTAGGTACTGAATCCATCATTTAACTTGTTTATTCTTATTGCTATTTTAGCTTAGGGTTTTTTGCATTTTCTCCACTTAAACTTGGTTTTCCTTATTTGCTAGAAAATAGAAAACACACCCGTGACTATTGCTGAAGCCACCAATGGTGCGTCCTTATCCCCGGTTGAAAGGGCTCGCCAAATCCGAATCACACCTGGGAAGTATAGGGTGAGCAATAATTATAAATTTTTTAAATTATATATAATACCTAAAAATTCATTATCGCTTCTTTTGTTTTTTGGTAGATAGTAATAACTCTGATTTAGACTTTTGTTTAAAAGTATTTCTCTAAGATTGCTTCAAATAATTAATAAAAAGAATAAGCAAGGAACAATTGTTGTTATTTTCTTTTAAAGTATTTCTCTATGATTTAGACTTTCTTTTAAATTATGTTGTTATTTTGTACTTCCTTGCATTTTCATATTTATTTCTTGTTTGCTTCCTCCTGATCTATTCCCCCTCCCTTTCTCCATCCTCCTCTTTTGGTTGATCTTCCAGTCCGAAACATCTTGTGGGTGATCTGTTGTGATTAGTCAAGAAATAAGGCATGTGCTGCATTTGGTTCCAGCTGCAGCAGCAGATTTTGGGGTTCATGGTTACAAAGTTGAAAATAAATGGCCTCAAATATATACCTCTCTCTTGATTCCATCGGGATGAAGAGGTTATCAAATATGTTTTTTATTTTTATTTTTATAATTTGATAAATATAAATAATTATCAAACATGTTTTTTGTTTTCAAATTTTACCACAGAAAAAAATAAAAATTGTTTATATCTTTTATTTTTTTAAAAAACACGAAAATAAAAACATTACCAAATGCATCCTTAATGTTTATTGATTCTCTATTTTCAATGAACATAATACATTAATCTCCTCTCTTTCTCTCTCTCTCTCCCTCCGCATTATATTTTCTCCCCCCTCTAAGATTTTTAAAAGTGCATGTGTATATAGCTTATTTCATATATTGTATTAAAACTGTTCAAAAAAAAAATCTATTGTATTAGAAGGCTTAATGACCTAACTATAGGACGTAGATAATATCATGTTAAAGTTGATTTTGGATAAATTTCATATAAGTATAAATTTAACAATGACAATGACTTGTTGAATAACATTCCTAATTTTGTCATTTTTGGCCCTCCTATAAAATCTTGACTCAATTCCAAAATATACATGATGATAAAAGACAAAGTTTATTAGGGTTTTTTGCATTTTACACCCCACAAAAATCTCTTGATTCTCACTTCATACACTGAAAGATTATTTTTTTCATATTACACCTCGAATGTCATAAATTGATTCTAATGTGGCTTTCGAACTAACATCCGTTTCAAATTCTGTTAAAAATTAATGCACTTGCCACCTGTATGTGATGTTCTTGGATAAAAATGTAAACTAGTCATCCATATCTCTGGGTGACTAGTTTACCGAAATTTGAAACGGATGTTAGTCCGAGGGCCATATTGGAACCAATTTATAACATTCAGGGTGTAATGTGGAAAAAATAATTTTTTGGGATACAAAGTGGGAATCAAGACATCTTTCGGAAAGAAAAATGGAAAAATCTCACTTTAATAAGACACAAACTCTAATTTTCACTAAAAGAAATTGCATTAATATTTCTTTCTGTATCTCTAGGTTCAGCAGCAGGTCGGAGTATCACCTTCATTTACAAGGTCCAATGGGGGAGGGAATTGTGATACAAAGGAGCTCAGTGTAAGTTGGTTGATTTCTACCTGGCTAGATGATGAATTCCAAGACTTACACTACCATATTCACCTACATTAACCTTCGAATTTCTTTGTTACATCTGCGATGGTCATTCCAACAGTCATACATAACGTGTTCGTAGCAAACGGATCTAGGTTATAATAATAGGTCGAGGACAACCTAATATACAATTGATTTATCTACATAAGGGGCTATTTGATTTTAAGTTATATATTATAACATGTATTAGATATAGGTGTTGCCAGGGGCGGATTTGCAATGTGGGCAGCTGTCCACATTGCAATTTTAACAACTTTTGGGGCCTAGTAGAATTTTGAAAAGTTTCAGAAGTGTTTAAAATTGCCCCATTGAAAATTTATAAAACATATAGGGTTATTTCTACAATTTAGAAAATAAATGGAGTCCTTAACAAATGTATGTAGACAAGATGTAGTTGTTTTATCCTCAAACCATTGTTGCCTATTAAATGTTTGTTAAAATGCCACAAACAAAGCCATGACAAAATGAGCAACTATGACTATCCGCGAGTCCTAAAGAAATTTTGCATTGCCCAAGGTGAAAGGCTTGCGATTTTCAACTATTTTATTTAATTCAAACACTTGAAAATTCAAACAACATGGTTGCTTGATCAATATACATTGATCTTACAAGTTGTTTGTTAAAAATTCAAGGATAAAACATTGAATTTGAGTTGAATTAGAGCCCCACTGTGAAACAATCTTGGCTCCGCCCCCTGGGTGTTGCAAGGTGGGTGAGTCAAGTCTCTCAACCAATTGATCGAATTTCCGGATTGTTTGTCTAAATGTCTCAATTTAGCTCCAATCAGTTTGCTTATTGCTTCAATTCAGTTTGTTAACCTACATGTACGGAAGTTTGTATGACATGTGGGAGGATGTGTAGAACAATTAATTATTCAATTATCGTAGTTTTGAAACTTATTTATGAAATGTGATAGTTTAAAACTTATTTGCTAAATTATCATTTTTTTTTCAAAAAAAAGTATTTTCAAAATAATGATAATTTTACAAACAAATGTAGAACTCTAATATTTAAGTAAATAAAATTAACCCAGCTTGCAACAAACCATTATTGACTAGGCTTTCATTAAAAAAAAAAAGGCTTTAGACATGTATTATAATTATAATTATAATGCTTTCTAGGTAGTTTTTCATCAGTATTATCAACTCAAAAATACAATAAATTTATTTATATGTGGAATATATAATTAGTTATCCAATATTAAAAATGTATATTTATTTCATAATAGTCTTCAAACGTACATATTTTTTTTTTAAGATAGATGCTAGTGCAAATAGAAAAAAAATTCATATGTGAATTAAATTTTAAATAATATTAAACAACATTTTTGTTGAGTTGAATTGAGAATAAAACAAATAACGATACCCTTCTTCATAGTCGCTTTTCATATCGAATTTGGTCTTCATATTTCTGTTATTTACTATTCTCATAAGTGCATCTATATTTTTTCAATGTATATTTTTAAACCATCTATCATTTTAATCATTAATTAGTTCTATTCCTACCATTACACTAGTTTTTTTTATTTATAATTTCATCTTTTCATATTTCTGGTAGAATTATTTTTGCAAAATAGTAATCATGTATTTTGATGAAAGTTTTTTTCTTACTCAAACAAAAATACTTAAAAAATGTTATCAAACTATACATAAGTTAAATCCTTGTTAGATTTTATACAGGTTAGTGGAATTATTGTCATCATTAGACCAAGAGCTTCTGGGGGTGAGAAGAAACCTAAAGGTAGATACTGAATCCATCATTCAACTTGTTTATTCTTATTGTTATGAATAGTTATTCTTATTCATAACTATCAGTATGGTAGGTACCATAGAAAATCCCGCTAGCTTAAGACAACTTTTAGAGGTTCCACTTTTAAGCTTTCAATGATAAATCTCAACTACCAATATTTTGCACAACTAATGTACCATGTTGTAATTTTTTTTCTTGAGAATATTTTTAATAAAATTAAATTTGTCAAAAAAAAAGAGCATATTTATAATTATGCAAAAATAATCTATATGCATCTTAGTATATGGATGGTATAATTGTGTACGCAAAAGTCAATAATGCAACGCATGCTAAAATTTATACCAAATTTCCTATATCAAATTAATGTGTGTTGTTGGATTAACGGGTCTAGTAACTTCAATAAACATTCAATAATTGAGATATTGTCACATTATTCCGTGTACAAATTTAGTGCAGACAACATTTTCTTGAAAGTGTATTTTATTCAGAGGTTAGCATACCTCTCTCGAGAGGGAAAAAAAAGACAAATGAAATTTTAGGGTGACAAAATTTTATCCCAGGTCATTTACTTTTTTATCGTAGGGTGAAAAAATTTGTCATATTTACTATTGCAGTTCTATTCAAATTTTAGATTATAAATAGATAAATAAAAGCCGTCTATATATAATCTTGTTATCTATTTATATGTAATCATTTGTTTTTCTTTTGTCCTTGTTATTTCTGTTATAACCTCAATTTTTTTCTCCAGAAGAAGATGATGAAGAGATTCCTGAAGAACTAGCAGTTTGCAAATTTTGCTTCAACAAATTTGTCGAAGAAAACGTTCTCAAGACAAAATGCAATTGCAAAACTGGTCTTGCCCATGACAAATGTGCATCTCACCACTTCAATGAGCTAGGAGATAACATGTGTGAAGTCTGCGACCAAGAGGTTGAAACAACACCAGTAACTTTGCTTCGACGCCCATTCTCTCCGAAGAAAAAGAAGCGAAAAAACAAGAAACATTGCTTCGGATTATGAATGAAAAGGTAATGTATTAATCTTTATCGATGAAAAATACAAAGATGGGGTAAAAAGGATGGTGGTGATGATCCAGTTTAGTTCCTGCTACTCTTTAGTGTTGGGAAGAAAAATAGTACATGCCTCACTTTAGCATAGCTCGTATGGCATAATTGCACTTAAAATTTAATACGTTATTAGTCACACACTTAAATATGAGTGGAAGTGTAATGTAATTTACAAGTTATGATTACTAGATATTGCTAAAAGCACAAAAAGGTGCTCATCTTGGCCCCTGTAATTGTGGGTGTGATGATGGACTAGATATAAAACTAATTTTCGAAAAATATTTGCACAAAACGGTGTCTAGGACCCACAACCATGTGATTGCTACCCCCAGACTTAGCAGTCGAAGTAGCAATGGCCCATTCAATCACAAGCATAATTGTTTTAATTTGACTCGGAGTTATAGTACTCTATAGTGGTCTAGAAATGATTTTTTTTAAAAATACTTGTACATGATGGTTATTCCAAGTTACAAGTCTATGACTGTAGGCCTGCACTTTTATTACTCCAAGAGGCAATGAGAAATACAACCATAAGTATAATTTCTTATAGAAGATGATGTTGATGAAATAACTAGTTTATT